ACAGTTGAGTCAGGACCCAAGCAGGAGGGAAATGGTCAGGGTGAGGGGAGGGAAGGGAGGGAGCGAGGAGGGGGGAAATGGTCAGGGTGAGGGGAGGGAAGGGAGGGAGTGAAAAGGTAAGGGTGAGGGGAGGGAAGGGAAGGGAGGGAGTGAGGAGGGGGTAGAGAGTCGAGAGAGGAGCTGAAGGCACGGTCAAAGAGAAAGGTCTTGAGACCGGCCTTGAAGGAGGAAAGGGAGGAGGCGGCGAAGGCACTGGGGGATAGAGTTCCAGAGCCTCGGGGCTGAGAGGCTGAAGGCCCGGCCACCGATGGTAGGGCGGTTGGGGCGGGGGACGTGGAGCAGACCGGAGCCAGAGGAATGGAGGGTACGGGCAGGTAAGTAGGGGGATAGTAGGTCAGAGATAGGAGGGAGCAAGGCCGTGAATGGCCCTGTAGGTGAGGATGATGATCTTGAATTCGATCCCCTGGGGGTTGGGGAGCCAGTGGAGGCGAGCGATGGTGAGGGCGAGGGTGAGGGCGAGGGTGGGAGTGATGTGGTCGCGGTGTCTGGTGCGGGACAGTACACGAGCTGCAGAGTTCTGAATGACCTGCAGTGTGGAGGGAGGGCCGGGAAGGCCGGCGAGGAGAGAGTTCCCATAGTCCAGCCTTGAGGTGATAAAGGCGTGGACCAGAGTTTCAGCAGCGTGAGGGGTGAGGTAGTGCTGTAGTCTGGCGATCTTTGGGAGGTGATGGAAGGCGGTGCCAGTTGTGGCGCGAATGTGGGGAAGAAAGGACAGCTCAGGGTGGAACAGAACACAGAGGTTCCTGATGGCTTTGAGAGGTGGAGAGTGCAGCCTTGGATGCTGATGCTATCAGTGCCTGAGGTGCGGAGGCGCTGACGTGAGCCAATCAGGAGGGCCTCAGTTTTACGTACGTTGAGCTGAAGAAAGTTGTCTCTCGTCCAGGACTCGATGTCGGACAGACAGCTGTCAGGACATCGGTGGTCGTGGAGTTGAGGGTAGAGGAGGAAAGGTAGAGTTGGGTGTCATCCGCATACATGTGGAAGTTAACCCCATGTCTGCGGATGATGTCACCACAGGGGGAGCATATAGAGGGTGAAGAGGAGGGGACCGAGGACAGAGCCCTGAGGGACACTGCATGAGACAGTGTGGGGGGTGGAGGAAAAGCCGTTTGTGGAAACAAAATGAAGACGGTGGGAGAGGTACGACCTAAACCACTCAAGGACAGGGCCTTGAAGGTTGAGGTGGGAGGACAAGCGGTGGAGGAGGATAGAATAGTCGACCGTATCGAATGCTGCCGATAGGACGAGGAGGCAGAGGGAGCTCTGGTCGCAGATGGTCAGGATGTCATTGGTGACCTTGACCAGGGCGGTTTCTGTGCTATGGGCAGCACGGAAACCCGACTGAAGGGGTTCGAATAATGAATGGGTGGAGAGGAAAGAGCGCAGCTGGGAGGCCACAACTCATTCCAGGACCTTGGACAGGAAGGGGAGGTTGGAGATGGGCTGGTAGCTTGATAGCTGCGATGCATCAAGGGTGGGTTTTTTCAAGGTGGGAGTGATGGTGGCAGTTTTTAAGGGAATGGGAACAGAGCCAGAGGAGAGGGACGTTGATGATGTCTGTGATATGTGGGGCAAGGAGGTGGAGCTGAGAGATAAGGAGTGGAGTGGGGATGGGGTCAAGGGAGCAGGTGGTGGGTTTCAGGGATAGGATGAGTTTGGTGATAGAGGGTGGGGAAACGGGTACGAAAGTGTGTAGGGGAGGATGGGTAGGAGTCGGAGTGTGGGAGGGAGGGGTGGGGGGTGGGTGGATGTTGGAGGGGAAGTGACCGCGGAGCAGATTCCCTTGATTTGGATTCAAGGAAATCCAGCATCTCCTCGCAGTGAAGGTTGGAGGAGATGACCTGCGCAGGGTGGCGGGGGGGACGGAGAAGTCGGGATGTGGTAGAATACAGAAGCCTGGGGTTGTTCTTCGTCTCCAGGATTATCCTGGAGTAGAAGGACGACTTGGCCGAGGCTAGAGTGGAGTGGTAGATTTTGAGGAGGTCCAGTCAGATTTGTCGGTGGACCGTTAGGCCAGATTTGAGGCAGGCGCGTTCAGTGGCCCACACCTGGCTCTTCAGTGAGCGGAGGTGGGAGGTGAACCAGGGGGAGGAGCGAGAGTAGGAGACAGTTCGGGAGGTGATGGGGGCAAGAGTGCCGAGTGTGGAGGAGAGGGTGTTGTGGAGGAGGGTGAGAGGAGAAGAGGGGTCAGTGAGGGTTGAAGGCCAGAGGGAAAGGTGTTCAGAGGACTCCAAGGCAGCGGTTAGGGATTGTGGGGGTAACTTCTTCCAGGGGTGGTAGAAGATGGTGGTGGGTCTGGTGGAGGTGGGGAGGGAGGTGGAGGTGGTGAAGGAGATGAAGTGGAGGTCGGAGACAGCCTTGTCTCCGACCACGGATGGTGACATCCGAGACACTGAGGCCCCGGGTGACCACCAATAATAATCTTGCATTTGATATAGCGCCTTACCACATCATTTGAGACATCATCGAGATGTCTCAAAGTGCTTCACGTAATATACTGTAAAGTGAATTGACTGTATATTTTGTGGGCAGAATTTTACATTCAAAAGATAAGAACTTTATCTCAGTTAGATTGTCTTTAATTGTCTGTCCATATAATTCACCATTAAATAGTTGGCGGCTTTAGCTTTAGGCTCTTTGTTAGTTTTTGCAAACCGTTTGGGAACTCTCAACATTGAGATGTCCCAACGACGTGATAAGGCGCTGTATCAAATGCAAGGATTATTTTTATTACTACTTTACAATAACATTTATATTACGCCTTTCATGTTTTTATCTGAATCTCTAAATAATTGTGGATTAAAGTTAGGCACAGCAGTGATGATACACTGGTGATACAAATAACCGTAAAGGCTCTGCATCCTTGAGTGGAAAATAATTGTGACAACCATTTTTCTCCCACAGGGAAACGGGTGTGCATGGGAGAAGAGTTGGCGAAGATGGAGCTCTTCCTCTTTTTCTCATCATTCCTACAGAAGTTCATTCCAAACACCAGAGGGAGTGAAACTGAACCTTCAGTTCGAATTTGGTGTCCCTTTATATCTGCATCCATACAAGATCCATGCTATTGTTCGGGTTTGTAAGGGTTGTCAATTGTAAAGGTTGAAGGCACAGTTTAGCTCTGTGCATAATGCTTTTATTTGGATTTCTGAACTCAAAAAGTTGGTACAACATTCTTGACAGATAAAGAAATGATCAAACTGCAGAATTTTCCATTCTATACCCATGAGCTTCAACTCTGGTTGGTTTTACCCATATAATGCCTTTGATAATATCAGTTGTTTTACATCTCCATTACAAATGCCGATCTCTAAAGGCTCAATGCATAATGCCGATCAGAATTCCAGCCCACAGGTGAATTCACAAGTGAAATCTATGCTAACTCACCCACTCTCAATTGTAAATTCCCTATTCAATGGCTTTCGCAATGTTCAGTGACTCTAGAATCTGAACAGTGTGCCAACTTTACACCTAGATTGAAAATGCAGTTAAAAATGAATTCCAACCCAATAACCAGATAACTGTCAACTTCAGCCTCTAATTCTTTGTTTAGTTTAGCCAAAGGGTATGAAATAATAATAATAGTTGGCGGCTTTAGGGAAATTAGGGAATAATAATAATTCTTGCATTTGATATAGCGGTATATAGCCTTCTAGATGTCTCAAAGCGCTTCACAGAATATACTGTAAAGTGAATTGACTGTATACGTGTGGGCGAAACGTTAAACGTTAACCACTCCAACGTTAAGCCCTAACAGGTAGAGCGGTTGTAGCTGAACAAGCAGCGGGAAAGCTTGCCAAGTATTGCTCTCAATAGCAAGGTATGTGGTTTAGTTGGTTAGACTTCAGCAATTATCCCAACCTACACTCTGGGGTCCTCCCAAGTCTTGGCTCTCGTCAACCTACAGTGAATGCTCCCTGGAATGAGGTGGGTCGGATGCGTCCTTCCAGGGAGAGAGGGAGGATGCATCTCCATTGCAGACCCGGGGAGGGAGGTTCCAGACAGGTGAACCAGCCCAAACCCTGGTCCGCATCTTGGATCATCTCCCGCCTGAACCACTCCAATGCCCTCCTCGTCCAAGAACAGATCGATTTCAAGATCCTCACACTCATCCCTTCACGCCCTGGCACCTCCCTGCATTTCCCTGCTGTCTCCCCGCTTCACTGCCCGCGGCCTCCGCTCGGCCGGCTCTGGCCACCGGCTCGTCCCTCATCCCCACCCCCCATCCCCCCCGCCCACCCCCGGCTCGGTGTCCGGCTCCACCATTGTCGAGGGTGGGAGGGTGGGGGCACGAAGGCTCAGTCAAAGAGGAAGGTCCTCAGGCAGGACTTGAAGGAGACACAGACCAGACAGACACACAGAGAGACACACAGACAGACAGACAGACAGACACAGACAGACAGAGAGACAGACAAACACACACACAGACACACACACAGACAGACAGACACAGACAGACAGAGAGACAGACAAACACACACACAGACAGACACACAGACTGACAGACACACACACACACACACACAGACTGACAGACACACACAGAGACAGACAGACACACACACAGAGACAGACAGACACACACAGACAGACACACAGACAGACACACACAGACAGACACACACAGACTGACAGACACACACAGAGACAGACAGACACACACAGACAGACACACAGACAGACACACACAGACAGACACACAGACTGACAGACACACACAGAGACAGACAGACACACTGACTGACTGACTGACTTGGCGGCTGCTGTGGTACCCGGTGACGTGATTCAAACGGGCGAGAGACGGTTACGTAGCGCGAGGGGTGTGTGTGTGTGTGTGGGGGGGGGGGGGGGGGGGGGCGAGTGATTGACGGGTGGGGCGGGGTCAGGGGTGAGGGGGCGGTGTCGGGGCGGTGATTGGCCGCTTGGTGAGGGCTGGGCGTGGCCAGGGAGCGGTGATGGACAGGACAAGTCGGGGCGCAGCGGGAGCCGCCGCTTCACCACCATTGGGCGGGTTTTTGCAGCGCTGCGCGTGTGTTAAAAGCAGCAGCTTGGGCGGGTACCTCGTTTCTTTTAAAAACAGACACGTTTTAAATGTACATCTTAGTTTGAAGGGGGTTTTTGTTTCCGGCTCAGGGCAAAGTTTCCACCGAGCGGCGCGTAACACCGGGCGACGTTTGGGCGACTTTTGGACGGCTTCGGGCGACTTGCTTTTGGGCTACTTTTGGACGGCTTCGGGCGACTTTTGGTGTTCTGTCGGGCTACTTTGGGCGGGGTGTGGGTGGGGTACTTTTGGGCTATTTTCGTGGGAGAGGGGCCACCTTTGGACGTTTTTGGGCTACTTTGGGGGGGGGGGCACTTTCGGGCTACTTTTGGACTGCTTTGGGCTACTTTGAGTGGCACTTTTGGACTGCTTCGGGCTACTTCGTGTGGGTTTTGCGGACACTTTTGAGCCTCAGACGCACCAAACCTCTTCAAGGGATGGAGAGATTAGAAACCATCACACGCCCGCACACCTGTGGGTGAAAAGGGAAGAGCGAGGGAGGGAGGGAGCGAGCGAGAGAGAGAGAGAGAGAGAGACGGGGGCAGACGTACGATGGCTCCATTTATTATTATTTTTTCTGGAGTGGTGTGAAAACAAACGTGAGCCCAAATAACATCTATTTTGGGCGGCGTTTAATCTCCTCTGTATGTACTTGTTTGATTTCACTTCAAAGCAGGTTAACCCTCAGGTGTCACGCGCTCCCGCCAATGCCCTTGAGCTTTGATGAGCATTTTGCGCCCGAGGAGATCCTGATCCTTTTTCTTGTTGTGATGATGATGATGATGGTGATGATTATTATATAAATGTAGTTTAAATAGGATTTCTTTTCCCAGTCGACGGCGGTCAAGCAACTCAGCCGCCCCCGCCTCCTCCTCCTCCTCTTGACTCCTCCACGGCAATGGCGACTCCAGGCCTGCCCCTCCCGAAGCTCCTGCCCAAGTGGGTGGACGTTCAGACGGCTCTGATGCTTCTCTTCCTCCTCCTCGTCCTGCTGCTGCTGCTCGTCGATGTGCTCCGCACCCGGAAGCCCAAGAACTTCCCGCCCGGCCCCTTCGCCTTCCCCTTCGTGGGCAACGTCTTTCAGATGGACACGAAGGAGCCCCACGTCCACTTCTGCAAGGTAGGGCGACGCAGGCGGTCGCGTTGCTTTAAATGTTAGTCGTCTTAATAATAGTAATAATCATAAATAATGAGCCTTGTGTTTGACAGAGGGCCTTATCACGTCGTCAAGTCATCTCCAAGCGCTTCACAGGATATACTGTAGTGGATTGCGTTTCGCCCACAGAATATACAGTCTTTGCTGAGGACTTTGCCGCATATCCTGTGAAGCGCTTTGAGATGCCTCAGCGACGTGATAAGTCGCCCTATCGAAATGCAAGAGTTATTATTATTATTAATAATTTAACGCTTGAACAAGGCGCAAGGAGATGGGACCTCAGTTTAACGCCACATGACTGCACTGGAGTGTGTAGAGAGTTTAAAGTCTTGACTTGAGTTCATGACCTGACTTGAAAGGCGAGGACGCCACCAACCGACCCCCTGATTCAATCGTTGCATTTTTTTGATGTAGCGTTTACAGGTATCATACACATTTAGAGTTAATAACTTGGATAAATAATTTGTGTTTTTTTTTTACCAGTTCTCCCTTCTTTTCTGCTCCTTCCAATTCTGCTGAGAATCAATATTCCATGTTTCCGACCGCCTACAGTTTCACTGACCCCCACACTTACCCCCATCCACCGCTGCCCCCCCCCCCCCGCACGCCCCTGCACCCCGCTTCGCTCCAGAAAACAAAAGGCAAAATATTCACAAAAGTTCTGACGAAAGGTCATCGACCTGAAACGTTAGCTCACGTAGCTCTCGCCATAGATGGTGCATGGCCTAACGAGGCAGTGTTCCCAGTTTTTATTTCATCTCAGAAAACCGTTGCCGTAACAGTTATGTCGGATAGATTTCAGAAATTCTGAAAAGAGTCTTAATTAGGAAATCAGCTTTCTGCCATTTTTAAAAAAGGATTGTAAGTGATCTCTGAATTTATGAATCTTTTGGAACTACTATATAGCTATGCTTTCTGCTGATATTGATCTGAGAGCAGTGGAAAGATGCGCACTTTCGTATTACTTATAGCAAATTTTAACTACAACAACGACATTACATTTATATACTGCCTTTCACATTGGAAGCACGTTCCAAAGCGCTGTAGCTATGGTGAGTCAGGATTGCTGTGTGCGAATGGGTAACAAATGGATATTTTCTTCCACTGGAAAATATTGTTATTGTCTTTCTTAGCTTGCCGAGAAGTATGGAGATATTTTCAGCCTGCGACTAGGCGCCTCCAATATTGTCATTTTAAATGGTTTCAAAGCATTTAAAGAGGCCATGATTCATCAGACGGACATTTTTTCTGGACTACTGTCAGAACCAATTTCTCAGGAAATTGGGAAAGGATACGGTAACTAATCACTTTGCTCCTAGTTGAAAGTACACAGAGCTAAGCCGGCAACCGTCGTGTGGTAAAATAAAAATTGTTGCTGACAGCAACATTGTACATTTATATAGAGCCCTTCACTCGGTTTTGTCTCGTAGCACTTAGAACAGGAAATCGAATTCTCTCTTTTTTACCATTTTCCTGAAAAGAATAAAATAAATATTTATACATGGTGACTGTGTTTGTAAGATAATAAGTTTTTAGAAGTCTTTCTTTACAGTAATTACAATAATTTATCTAGCTATACATTTACATATGTTATATTTCATGAATGTTTATTAATATCATTGTACAATGAATAAACTTCAACTGATATACATAATTCAAAAATGTAATAATGTAATAGTTATTACCCTTATCAACAATAATATCATAGACCAGAGAAAACAAAACTACACTAGTGAAGGAAAAATCATATTGTTACTGCCAGGTTGAAATTATGGAAACTTTCTAACACAGGTATATTTTCCTCCACTGGACAAGTTTGGAAAGAGCAACGTAAATTTGCAGTAACAACTTTAAGAAACTTCGGTGTTGGTAAAAAATCTTTAGAGGGAAAAATACTGCAGGAAATTAAGTACCTGAATGGCGTATTTGAAGATGAGAAAGGCAAGTACAGTATTTTACAGTATTAAACCCTTTAGAACTCCATCCCACAGTTCCTTCGTCTTGCTCCTTCCCTTGCCTCCTTCAAGGCAAGTCTCACAAAAACCCTCCTCTTCGAATGCACCTTCGGTCACCCTCCTACCCCCACCCTCCCTGCCCTGCTCACCCGTCCTGATCCCAACTCCAAGCTCGGGTGCAAATCCCTGGCTGTCCAGCGGTTTGGGGCGTCTTCCCGATGTGAAAACTGCTGTGTAACTATCATTTGTTGTGGTGGTTCGTTGCTGTTTATGGGTCACTAGCAGGTGGCATCCTTTGATTTAACAGTTGCTGCTATAACCTCATTCCTCATATTAATGTTAACATTTTCAGCGATTGGTGAGTCGTCAGGAGGGAGATGCATGGAATTATTGCTGGCAACGTAAAGAGGCAGGTTAGAAGAAAGCATTTTCACCGAAAAGATTATTAGTCAAACCTGTTTTCAGCAGCCACTCAGGCAACTGGATTAAAGTGGCCTTTACGTAAGGATGGTCTCTGAGTAAAGGGTTGGTTGGTTTGTTGACTGGGGCCTGAACATTTTTTGCAAACTGTAGACTCCGACTAGACTCCTAGCAAGTTTACTAAGTCCGCCTCACCAGTCATCAGCGAGCCGTGGGCCGTGTTGGTAAATGTGTGAAGAGTCTAGCGGGAGTCTGCGCGTAGGCCCAGGGAAATTGGTACTGTTTGACAGCTACAACAACTTGCATTTATGTAGTGCCCTTCACAAGGGGCAGCATCCCGGAACGTGTTACCAGTAAGTACACTTAAATTAACTGAAAACTACCCCCACTGTAAAAACGGGGTTAAAATAGAGTGGCCACTGGTTGCGTTAGTCAGATGGTTGCTGAGTAGAGATGGTTTATAATGGAAAATCGGTCGGCACTAGCCATGGTGGTTGTTGGTAGCAGGTAGTTGCTTTAACAGATTTGACTGTATTAGTAGAATCTGAGTTGTATGGAATATAAAAGCAAGGAATTACTGCTGTACTTGTAATAAGCACAGATCTTATCTCATTGGGAGTATTGGTTTTAATTACTGAAATGTAGTTAGGAAATGCTAGCCTCAGAGAGCAACCAGTCTATTCACCAGATTAATATCTCAGACAAACGGACTTGTCTATGATAAAAGACAGAGACAATTTGGGTTATATTCCCTGTTGCAGCACCGGCCAAACTATGACACACGGGACTGTTAAGAAGCCCCCATCCCCTAAAACATTCACTAGTCTAGGTAAGTCCGTGTTTGATTGGTAGTCTATTCCTAGGTTTTTCTTAATTGAATATTTTTCCATTTATAGCACAAATCAAGAAATATTCAATCAAAAAATATTTATTTTGTTGGCCGACCAAAATGATTGTCTGCCACTGCCCGAAAGTTATATGAACGTTATTGAGATGTTTAAAATATCAAAGGGAATTGGCTAAGTAGGGAGTGATTCTACCATCTTTACAGACAGGAGTCTTTCAGCTTAGTGGTTAGAGCGCTCGCCTCACAAGCGAGAGGACCTGGGTTCGATTACCGGCAGAACGAAACACTGGATTCACTGGTGTACCCAGTGTGCCAGCTCTGCCATTCTCTCTCCGCATCTCAGTCTCTTCCAAAAATGAAACATTAGACAAATTTCAACCTGTGTGTCTGTTCAGGACAACCATTTGATCCACACTACAAGATTAATGTTGCAGTTACAAACATCATCAGTTCCATTGTGTTCGGAGAGCGATATGAATACAGTGATAGCAAATTTCAGGATCTACTCCGATTGCTTGAGAAATCGGGAGAAAGCTTTGGACACTCCTGGACCCAGGTAAGATCATCTCAACAAAGTTTCCTGAGTTTGAGTTTGGATAGAGTTGGAATTCTGTACCACTTTATTTTTCTTTAAAATCTTCGCATAAAAGGTGAAAACGAAAAAGCTGGTTGATTTGCTTGCGGACTTGAATTATCTGAGGAATCAACAAATAATAATTTATTTGGTCCCTCAATTCATGACTGTTTGCGGGACTGCTGTGTGCAATTGGTTACCATGCTCCGCCCGCAAAAAGATTCATCTTTTTCATCTTTTATGCGAAGATTTTAAAGAAAAAGAAAAATGGTACAAAATTCCAAATTCACTCCACTTTACAGTATGTTCCGTGAAACGCTTTGAGACGTCTCGAAGACTTGATAAAGCGCTATATCAAATGCAAGGACTATTATTATATAGACATATGTATGTCTTAAAACTACAAGGAATGATAGTGATTAAGGATTGAGGGAATAGAAGCTAAGAGAGCTCAAATGAGTAAGGGAAAATTATTTCTGTGGATCAATAAAGTAATTTGTACATTTTTACACTATCTTAAGTTGCGGTTAATATAAGTTAAATTATGCAATTCAAGTTACAAGGCTATATGAGTTAAAATAGAGTTTCTCCCCGCCCAAGGATTCTGCCGATCAAATTGGTCACGGCTGTTTTGTGGGACATTTCTATGTGCAAATTAGCTCCTGCGTTTGTCTTCAGATTCACAGTCACTGCACTTTTCGGTAAATCTGTGAAGTGTTAAGGCGTTTTGACGACATAATAATGTGCTACATCAAATGCTAGGGTTATTATTGTTATATACACTTGCAAGTAAGCACAATGAAGCACTTGCATGTTTACTTACATTTGCCTATTTTCTGCGGGACTGAGATCTCCACTTGGCAAGGCATATAGTTATATATACATTTAGGTAGTTAGTGGGGGTTTGGACTGTTCTGTGCAGTGGCCCACTATAGTAAGCCTGTCGATGTTTTCCTTTTTAAGTCCATGGTGTTTTGTTATGTGTTTATCTCTGCAGTTGTACAGTTTTTTCCCGACTATTCTAAAATATCTCCCAGGGCCACATAAGACCTTGTTTGCCTTGTGGGACAATATACTGCAATTTATCAAGGAAGAGATCCAGAAGCACAAAGCGAACTGGAACCCAGAAGATCCCAGAGATTTTATTGACTGTTATCTGGCAGAAATGGAAAAGGTGAGAAAGTAGTAGAGACTAGATTTGTAATAGATAATAGCAAAAGATAGACAGCCGAGGATAAAGAATGGCATTTTTATTTGAAGGGATTATTAATCCCTTCTAACAAAAAAGTAATAATTTGGTTCACTCAATTCAGGACTGTGGGACACTTGCTGTACGCTTTTCGCTCAGAAAATATACAGTCAATTTATTTTACAGTACATTCTGTACACTTTGAGATGTCTCAATAGCATAAGGCCCTATATCAAATGCAAGGAATATAATTATTAAAATATGGATTTGATTATCTGTTTTGGTTTCTCTCTGTTAACTTTGATTAAAATATTGATCTTTCATTACATATGTTATTTAAAGGCTTTTGGAGCATTTGATCTTTATATGTCTTATTATTTCAGGGTCTTCCTAAAATTGGCTTTACTGATGAAAACCTAATTTATTCAACATTAGACCTTTTTGTCGGTGGATCAGAAACAACAACAACCACACTTCGTTGGATTCTGTTGTACATGGCAGGATATCCTGACATTCAAGGTTGGTATTGTATTTCAAACAGAATAGAAACTCTTTATTGTATCTATTAACATTGAGATCACTAAAACAGTTGTGAGGATGGCAAAGAAGAAAAAACACTAACATTCTGCTTTGCACTTTTCATTAAATTCACTGAACTGCTTCATTGTCAAACTATAACAACAACATGTATTTATATAGTGCCCCTCATGGAGGGTGCCTGACAGTGCAGGGCAGAAAGCAAGCCGGGGGGAAGGGGAGAAGACTAGGCACAGCCGAAGAGGAAGGTGCAACCTGAAGATGGGGGAGGAATAGAGGAAGAGTGTTCCAGAGTTTCGGGGCGTAATGGCTGAAAGCGCAGCAGCCAATGGTGGAACGGAGGGGACGAGGGACAAGCAGGAGGCTGAAGCCACTCGGGCGGAGGCAGCGGGTAGTGGGTTGAGACGTAAGCAGTTCGGCAAGGTAGGGAACTAGAACTAATGGCTTTTATTCTGTGTAATGACACTAGGAAAGTGCTTACCAAAAGCAGTTTGCGTTTCTCATCAGAATTTCCTCCGTAACTAAATTAATTTTAATTTGTGACCCCAATAATAATAATAATACTTGCATTTGATACAGTGCCTTATCATGTCTTCTAGATGTCTCAATCTGTGCCTCAACTCCAATTACCCACCTTTGCCCCGTATCCTTTAATACCATGACCTAACACATCAATCTATCCAACTCAGTATTGAAAATGTGATACACAGTAAAGTGAATTGACTATATATTATGTGGGCGAAATGCGGCAGCCAATTGCGCACAGAAGCGGCCCACAAACAGTCGTGGATTAGAGTCTTAACAGTTCTATTATTTATTCTGGGAAGGAGCATTCTGTTTAAAACAATAAAATGAACATTTATGTATTCACATTCAACAATCATTTGTGGAAGACATTAAAAATGTCCACTTTTAGCACAAGGAATCAACTACTCAGTGAAACTGGGATTGTTCAAGAACATCACTTAGCCAACTTTGCACTCCCAACTTTCAGTTTTTCAGAATTCCTGGTCAGACTACAACTTTCAGAGAGAGGAGACTATTATTCTGGAAAGAACATGAATACAGACCCCAGAGGACAGGCAGCGTAAACGTGGTCTCTATTCCCTTGAGTTAGTTTAGAAGATTGAGGTGATATGATTGAGGTGTTTAAAATAATAAAGGGATTTGATAGGGTAGCTACAGAGAAAGAATTTCCTCCGGTGGGGTAATCTAGAACAAGGGGCATCATCTTAAAGTTAGAGCTAAGCCATCAGGTGTCAGTTTTTCACCCAAAGGGTGGTGGAAATCTGGAACTCTCCCCAAAAAGGCTGTGGATTATGGCTGGATCCATTCACATTTTCAATACTGAAGTGGATAGATTGCTGTTAGGTCAGGTTATTAAGGGATTCAGGGCAAAGGTGGATAATTGGAATTGAGGTACAGATCAGCCATGATGTTATAGAATGGCAGAACAGGCTTGGGGGTCTGAATGGCCTCTTCCTATGTTCCTAGAAATTAAAAGTAATTGACCTTTGTAGTGCAACAACAACAACTTGGATTTATATAGCGCCCTCCACGCCAGGCGGCGTCTCAGAGCGCTTCACAGTAACAGATCCCAGGGCCAAGCCGGGGGGATGGGGAGGAATGTGACCAAAGGCCGGTCGAAAAGAAAAGTCTTTCAGGGACCTGAAAATAGGAAGAGAGGGAGCGAGGTGAAGGGAGTGAGGAAGGGAGTTCCAGAGCCTAGGGTCATAGTGGCTGAAGCATGGAGGACTCTATCCAGTGCATACAAGGATAGTTTGAAGACATTCAAAGCACAGATGATGGCCATTTGGCCTATTGTATCTTTATTGAAGTCAAGCAACAACAATAAAACCAAGGAACTGTTACTTCAAAAGCACTATAAAGACAGCCTACAGTATCTTTCTATCTTCTCATTTTCTTGCAGAGAAAGTCCATGCTGAGATTGACAGTGTCATTGGCCAATCTCGAGCCCCTACAATGGAGGATAGGCCAAATCTTCCTTATACAGATGCAGTCATTCATGAGGTACAAAGAAGAATGAACATAGCACCTCTGACTGTTCCCAGGTTGACTACCAAAGACACAATAGTATCAGGATATTTTATACCAAAGGTAATGCAAACAGAAAATGTGATAACATGAGCAGCATTTCCACCCTGAGATTCAGATGAAAGTTGAATCATCAATAATGTGGAGTCCAGTAGCTCAGTGGTTAGAGCGCTCGCCTCGCAAATGAGACGACCTGGGATCGATTCCCGGGCAGGGCAAAAGGATAGGCAAGTTTCCTTACTCCACACACCTCTGTTTACTCAGCAATAAGTAGGAATCCATTTGTTAGATAATTTCCCGGGTAATAATCCCTTCCAAAAAATAAATAATGATAATAATTTGATCACTCAATCCAAGACTGTTTGCGGGACACAGCTGTGAGCAATTGGGTGCTGCGATTCTCCCACAAAATATACAGTCACTGCACTTCATAGTGTATCCCATGAAGTGCTTTGAGACATCTCGAAGGTGTGATGAAGTGCTATATCAAATGCAAGGAATATTATATGTTATGTGCTTAGTTTCTAGAGAGGTCACTGAGTGGTCTTTTAGTACAAGTCAACTCTTGTCACTAAAAGTGACAGAAGTGCTTTTTTCTCTAATAATCAGAAAGTTTAACAGAACTTGAACTTACCTGACATGTTCTATAGAAACAACTAAAGATCAGGAGGCAGTAAGTTTTTAGCAGTCATCTTTGGCATGAACAAACACAGCTGCATAAGATGCTTTACATTGGGAAAAACAGTCACAAATCAATAATTGCACCCCACAGCACGATTGTTACTTCACGAGAACCTCTCTAATCTTCAGTGAAAACCATATCTTGATAAGATTAGATGCATATTAAACGTACATTAAAAGGAAGTAAGCCACACCATTTGATTTTGAAAATAATTTATATTTATTATTTTCCTATGTAGGACACCAAATTCATTGTAAATCTTCATTCGGTATTGTTGGACAAAACCATGTGGGAAACGCCTGAGAAATTTAATCCAGAACATTTTCTGGACAGTGATGGGAAACGTGTGAACAACGGAGCATTTGTAGCTTTCTCTGGAGGTAAATGCGTCTCTGGTTCTGTAACCACAGCTACAGTTTTGATACACAATACATAATGTGGAATCCTGTAGCTCAGTGGTTAGAGCACTCACCTCGCAAGCGAGAACCCTGGGTTCGATTCCTAGCAGGGCAGAATGTTGGGCAAGTTTCCTTACTCTACACACCTCTGTTTACCTAGCAGTAAGTAGCCGGTTGTTAGTTGATTGGCAGATCACGTTTCCGGAGGTAATAATTCTTTAAAAATACTAATAATTTTGTCACTCAATCCACGACCGTGGGACACTGCTGTGCGCAATTGGCTGTCGCGTTTCGCCCACAAAATAGTCAGTTCACTTTACAGTATATTCTGTGAAGTGCTTTGAGACGTCTCAAAGACGTGATAAGATGCTATATCAAATAATAATCCTAGCATTTGATATAGCACCTATGCAAGGATTATTATTATTATTATGTGGTGGAATAGACCTGCAATATAATACCCTGCTTGTTAGTTTATACTCATGGGAATGAAGACTTTTCTAGAACATTTAGTCATATAGCAGCTGCTGAATAACTTAAAAAATAGTTTCTGTGTGGTCCAGTTGACCACCCAAGCACTGTGGACTTGTGTGGGGGTGAGTCCCAGTGTGATTTGAACTACCTCCTTCAAGTATCATCGAACATTAGTACAAGTACCCTGACTCAATCCCAAATTATATGGACATTCACTATAATCTTGTCAATTTGCAGCATTTAATAGACTGACTGAAAAAGTCTCCATTGAAATGCTCTTCCTTTTCCACCTCCACCAATGAACACACCTTCATTGTGTTCATCTCCCGTTCCGATATTCAATATTGTTACATTTATCTACATTATAATCTCATGATTCACAAACCCATCTACTTAATTGGATCAAGTCTTCATAAACGTTGTCCATCTTCTTTAGGAGAGAAATCAGGGGCAGTTTTTCACCCAAAGGGTAGTGGAAATCTGGAACTCTCTCCCCCAAAAGGCTGTGGATGTTGGATCCATTCACATTTTCGACACTGAGGAGGAGGATAGGTTGGTATTAGGTCAGGGTATCAAGGGATATGGGGCAGAAGGGCAGATCGTTCGAGTTGAAGTACAGGTCAGCTATGATCTAATGGAATGGCAGAACAGGCTCGAGGGGCTGAATGGCCTCCTCTTGCGTGAGTTTCCTGGTAGAGCTTGATATTGTTTGTATCCTGCTGACATGAAAGCTAATATCTAAGTGTAAATTTATATATCGTTATGCATCGTTTACAGATTTATATATTGGAAGAAATCCTCTTGTTCCAACAAGTTTTGCGAATTCTGTTCACAGGTAAACGCAACTGTATGGGAGAACCACTGGCCAGAATGGAGCTGTTGCTTTTCGTCACGTCGCTCCTGCAGAAGTTCAGGTTCCAAGCTCCAGATGGGGTGGAAATAAGTTATCAGTCCATTTTGGGTGTGACTGTCACTCCAATGCCTTACAAAATATGTGCAATTCCTCACTGAGAGGGAGCACTGCTATCACTACTTTTACCTAGCACGCTGACGGAAAATTTAAATTTTTGGTTTATTATTTTGCCACTATAAATAAGTTGTGAAAACACAAGATAAATAGTAACTTCTCACTACTAACAAAAGAGTGCCTTGTATGTTGAAGACAACGCTTGCGAAACATTGTGATAAAACCTATAAATCTATCAATGTAAAATCATAGAATCCTACAGCACAGAATAGGCCTTTTGGCCCATTAACCAACAAGAAGGCAAGTTGTAGTGTTGTAGATTTTCCTTATTTTGAATAAATGTTGTGGCTAAATGGTTGGGTGGTAATATCTGCTATAAAAACACTCTACCTAATAGTTAATTGTTCTTGATCGTTAAATTGTGTGGCTCAACTTTTACCTGAGAGAAGCAATGAAGGAAGATGTGCCTTCGGTCACTCTCCCTGTACTCCACATTCACCATTGGGTGGGCATTCAGTCCCTCTGCCTCCACCCTCTGGAACTCCTGCTCCCACTTCCCACCCTGCCTCCTTCAAGACCCGTCGTATGACCCCAACCCTCCCCGTCCTCCACCCCTCCTGATCCCAACCCCCAGCTCGAGTGCAGATCCCTGATTGTTATCAAGAGTTCGCTGTTTTAACCAAAACATTTGAAAATAAATTGGAATGGGCTGAAAGAGAAAAGAATTGGGTAAAAGACATAGGTATATAGACAGATGAGTCTGAGGTGGATGAAAGCTGAGCAGTAATTTTGTGTTGGGGAGAAACTTTGGTGAATAAAATAATTGTTTGAGGCATATCTGCAGTTAGAGATATTTTCCGACAACAGACTTATTGTAAAGAATAATGGCGATTAAACAATAATTAAATGTATCCAACTTCACACTATTTGCAGGTGATTCATTCTTCCTATGTTCACCCAATACATAATCAAAATCATTGGAATTATGCTTCTATTCAGCAGATCAGGCAATAAAATTTTAACTTTGTAACGATTCATGTATTTGAAAAGTGCCTTTGCATTCGATTATCATACAATAAAAAGCATTAAATTTTATGTACTAAATCTGTGTTTTCCAAGATTCTTTTTTAAACGCACGCTATATTATTAAACCTAGCATTTCACAAATTTGAAAACTCTCAGCTGGCACCTCATGCGTAATAATAATAATAATTACTTGCATTTGATATAGCGCTTTTCATGTCAGGAGGACGTCCCAAAGCGCTTCACAGAACATACTAATGTATAATGAATGGCAGTCTGGGTCTCAAATGACCTTGATACCAATTCCAGCCATGTCGTTTGGGAATGAGCCCAACAACTGCCTTCTCAGTAGTGGCTTTCAATACTTGTCTGTGTGTTGTGAACGAACATACCAGACATGGACATGTCTATTGATGCAATAATAATAATACTTGCATTTGTTATAACGCCTTATCATTCGTCGAGACATCTCACAGCCCTTCATAGAATATACTGTAAAGTATAGTGACTGTATTTTGTGGGTGAAATGTGAGAGCCAATTGTGCACAGCAGTATCCCCACAAACAATCGTGGGTTGAGTGAACATTTGTTTTCTTTTTTTGGAGAGATTAGAACCTGGGGAAAACGATCTGTCAATCGACTAACAACTAGGTTAACAGAGGTGTGTGGAGTAAGGAAACTTGCCTGAGGTTTCACCCAGCCAAGGTCCTCTCACTTGCGAGGTGAGCACACTAACCAACACAGGAAAATCCTTTCTCAATAACCCCTTCCTCATCGCCACTTGGATTTGAGATAGCACGTGAGGAAGCAAATCTTTTTCTCGCAACTTGGCAGACTCAGGATGTTATCAGAGGCAATACAACAACAACTTGCACTTACATAGCGTCCTCATCGCAGAGCACTTAAAAGCCGGAAAGGCAGCTTCTGATATGAGATTTCATCAAGTACAAAGATATTAACAATATTGTAGAGCAAGTATAGTCAGCTGGTCCTCGGGTGACTGGAATGAACAGACATTTGTGCAGGTGAAGATGTGTTGAGATGCCTCCGGCCTTGACATTTCCGACCTCAGTATAGTGGATAAGGCCATCTCGGACCACTTCCTCATTTCCTTCTCTCACATCCCTCTCTGCTCCACCAAGCCCTCAACCATCCTCTACTGCCCTTGGAAAAGGCTACCCCTGAGACCCTCACAAAGGCCCTCACATCATCAAACATCCTACTCCTCTGGCCTTTCACCCGCGGAGATCCTGAAGCAGCCGTTCAGCTGCTCCATGATCACCTCTCCTCCACCTTCAACTCCCTTGTCCCCCTGAAATCCAGGACCATCTTCAAACCCACCCGATCCCCCGGTACAACAACCATCTCTGCCGCCAAAAAACCCAAATCTGGCTGCTCAAGCGCAGATGGCGGAAAACTGGCCTGACAGTTCACTGCCAACTGTGGCTCAAGCATCTCCACAGCTACCGCCATTCTTTGACGCGCAAAAACGGCTTCTATTCCAACATCATCTTGGAGGCTAAACAGAACTCTAAAATCCTTTTTTCCACCACCCACTACCTCCCCCCCCTCATGCCTCCACAATCTTCGTATCAAATGCCCAAGTGTGAGGAGGTCATGGACTTCTTTTCATCTAAAATACATAACATCTGCCAGGAGGCCTCATCCACCTGCACCTTTTCACCCACTACCATGCCCTCTCCCCCTCACCCTCCCCATCATCTGCACCTACCATGACCCCCATCCTACATTCCGTCCTCCCCATCTCTCCCTCCTCCCTCTCACCCACCATCACCATGAAACCCACCACCTGCTGCCTCGACCCTCTCCCCACCAACTTGCTGGTCACCCAGCTCTCTCTCCTCTGCCCACTACTGGCTGACGTCATCAACCAATCCCTCTCCTCCGGATCAGTCCCTGCCCCCCGCAAAACTGCGGTCATCACCCCCGTCCTGAAAAAACGTTCCTTCGATCCCTCAAACCCCAGCCACTACCACTTTATTTCCAACCTGCCTTTCCTCGCAAAAGTCCTAGGACAAGTTGTGGCCAATCAACTCCGCGCACACCTCTCCTCCCATTCCCTCTTCAAACCCGTCCAGTCTGGTTTACGCCCACAGGACAGAGACTACGCTTGTGAAAGTCACAAACGACATCCTCTCTATCTATGACCAGGGCTCCCTCTGCCTCCTTGTCCTCTCCGCCGCGTTCGACACAGTCGATTACGCCATCCTCCTCCACCGCCTTTTCTCCGTCATCCACCTCAGTGGGACTGCACTCGCCTGGTTCAAGTCCTACCTCACAAACCGCCAGCAGTACATCTGCAAAAACGGCTTCTCTTCCCACTCTCACCCGGTTACCTGAGGGATACCGCAAGGATCCATCCTTGGGCCCCCTTCCTCTTTCTGATCTACATGCTCCCTCTTGGGGATGTCATCCACAGACATGGGGTACATTTCCACATGTATGCAGATGACACCCAACTCTAGTTTTCCACCTCTCTTTGCGACCCCCATGTTCTGTCAGCTGCCTGTCAGATTTCAGGGGCTGGATGAAATTTGAACGTTGACAAGACGGAAGCCATACTCTTTGGCTCTTGTCAACATCTAAAATCTCACAGTTCTCACCTCCTCCACCTACCCGACCTCCCCTAAAACTCTCCTAACCCATACGCAACCTAGGTGTCAGGTTCGACCCCCAATTATTCTTCTTCCTCACATCCGGTCCCTAAGCAGCACCGCTTTCTTTCACCTCCGACGCATCGCCTGTCTTCGCCAATACCTCGCTCTAAAAGCCGCTGAAACCCTGGCTTTGTCACCTCTCGACTGGACTGCTCTAACGTCCTCCTCGCCGGTCTCCCCTCCACCACCATCCATAAAATCCAAATCATTCAAAACTCTGAGGCCTCATTCTTACCCGCACCAAACTCCCCGATCACCCTAGTCCTTGCCAGACTGCCCTGGCTGCCTGTCCCAGAGAGGATCCACTTCAAGATCCTCACCCTTGCATTCAAATCCCTGACCTCTCTGACCTCCTCTCTCCTCAAAACAGTACCCGTTGCCTTTGTTCCTCCGGGTCTGGCCTCCTCCTTGTCCCCCCGAGTCCCCCGCTCCACCCTCGGTGGCCGACCTTCAGCCACTATGCCCCAAAGCTCTGGAACTGCCTTCCTCACTCCCTTTGCCTCGCTCCCTCCCTTCCTATTTTCATGTCTCTGCTGAAGACCTTCCTTTTCGACCGCACCTTTGGTCACCTTCCCCCCCTCCCCCTGGCTCGGTCCTGGGATCCGTTACTGTGAAGAGCTCTGAGACGTCGTCCGGCATGGAGGGCACTATATAAATCCAAGTTGTTGTTCCTATACTGGACATTAGACTCACACTGACATGTGGTGGAATCATAATACATGCATTGTGATTCATGTAACTAGCCGTTGTGTGGCACAGTCTACATTAGCAAGGCGTTACCACAATTCAAAATCAAATGATTTCAGAGGCGAACTGAGTTCATCATTTACTGCAGTGCTGATACAGAACACTAAACCACATGGGGTTTCGAAGACGAGAGGATGAAGATTGCGACTGGGGGAGTAAAAGGAATATTACTTTTCCCAGAGGGTTGTCAGGGTGTGGAATGATTTGCCAGTTGATTGGGCACTTAAATAAAAGTTGGACAAGCATGTGCACAGGAAGGGTGTTATAGAGGGTTTGGGGAAAGTGCAGAGAATTGGGATTAGGAAGGATAGCTTCGTGAAAAATGGGCCAAAAGACCTCCTATTGCGTTGTACAGTTCTATTGTTCTATGGGTTCAAGTTCAATTAATAAAACCGTGATTCAAAATTCTTGCTATTCAAGGTGGGAAATCCTTCTCCGCTCTTCAAAGTTCCTTTAAGTACTGAAGGATCGGTTCCACTATTACTTTACCGTTGGACTGAAACTGATCGAGGGCTTCCTGAATTTTCTGTGGCCTGAGATTCAAATGATGAATGAGATTATAGTTGTTGATCACCCGCCTCGCTTCACATTGATACAGCCCGCCTGCAAGACATAGAGAAGGAAGAGAGGCAGGTGATTTCGGATGTGGTGTCACAGTGTTGTAGCTTCTCCATTGAGATATACAACGAGTAAGTGATATTTCACACTAAGAAAAGCAAACTAATCCACTGTAAAGTGGCCGGAACATCAGAGAAATGAGCAAAAGCAGCAATATTGCTCCTTGCAATAGAGCGATGGAGAACCTGAGGCATGATTTACTCCCCTTCTCCCACTTACGGCCTAACTTCATCCGGGCCAGCATCTCCAAACGATTAACAGTGGCGGAGCCTGATGCCGAGGCAGGGAGAGAGGGAGGAGGTGACCATAAGCACGGTCAAAGAAGAAGGTCCTCAGTTATGATCTAAAAGAGAGGAAGGACGGGTCAAGACAGAGGGATTGAGGGAGCGAATTCCAAAGCTTCGGGGCATAGTGGCTGTAAGTGCAGCTCCCAATGGTGGAGCAGAGAGGAAGGGGGACAAGCAGGAGGCCAGAGCCAGTCGAGTGGAGGCAGAGGGGGAAAATCAGATCAGAAAGGTAGGGAGGTGCCAGGGTGTGAAGGGATTTTTATACGTGTGAGAGGGCACTTAGCTGGATAGGGGCACATTAACTGCAACATAAGTTAACCCTAACATTCAAAACTAATGCTTACATATAGAGGGAAAATCCTGAAACCAGTGACACACACTGCCTTGTGTGTGTGTGTGTGTGGAGGTGGGGGGGGGCGGGGAGAGGGAAGGGCTCTAGAGAAAAGCGAATGATGGTAATATTCAGCAAAAACCTCTGTATAAATACTTAATTAGTCACCTTTCACACACTTGAAAGAAAGAGAGTGCGGGGTGTTAAAATCATACAGAATCCTGGACAATCTCTGTGTTAACCTGGTCTAAATTATTGGGTTGCATAATTTAATAGGACAACAACAACTATACAATTACATTTGGATAGTGCCTTTCACGTCAGGAGGATGTCCCAAGGAAGGAAAGAAGGACGCGTAATTCGGAGTGCAGATAATTTGACGTAGAAAGCGGGGCTTACCTGCAGTTCTATTGTCTAATAGGTGCAAGGCTCGCTCCAGCCGTGTGAAGCGATCAATCCAGTTTTTTTCCTGGAGTTTGCTTTCCTTGTCTTGCTCCATCATGGACTCTGACTCCAGTCTCCTGATTTTGCCGGGAATTTTCAGAACCTTCCCTCCTCGGCTGGGATTATCAACTCCAGAATTATGGTTTTTATCCTTCATTTTCGCCTGAAAAAAAAACAAAGGAAGCTCACTTAAAGATCAAAACGTGACTTTAGTAAGAATAATAACCCTTGGATTTGATACAGCATCTTATCACATCGTTGAGATGTCTCAAAGCACTTCACAGGATATTATAATAATAATAATCCTTGCATTTGATATAGCGCTTTTCACATTTTCTAGACGTTCCAAAGCGCTTCACAGGATATTCTGTAAAGGGAATTGACTGTATATTTTGTGGGCGAAACTCGGCAGCCAATTGCATACAGCAGTGACCCATAAACACTCATGGATTGAGTGACCACATTTTTTTTTTGAAGGGATGTCCACCTGAACAGACAGATGAAACCTCAATTACACTGCATTGGAGTGTCAGCCGTGTGAGCTCAAGGTCCCGACATGGAGCTTGAACCCACAAACCTTTGGAATCAGAGGTGAGAGTGCTACCAACTGACACCTGGCTCAATGATACATTTTCAGGGAGTGAGGGGTGAAAATCTGAGGGATGATTAAATGATACAACAACATTCATTGTACTGCAATATGTAGGACTATTTCAAGATTATAGTGTGTTTTGATCCTTGTAACAACAACAGCAAAGATGAGGTACAGATCAGCCATGATCTAAGAGAATAGTGGAACAGGCTCGAGGGGCTGAATGGCCTATGTTCCTATGTAACAACATAGCGCCCTTCACATGGGGAGCACTTAACAGTGGCAGAGCCAGACGCTGAGCCGGGGAGAGGTGGGAGGTAGGTGGCTGCTGTCACAATCGTCGTGAGGTGTGATCTAAAGATGAGAAAAGATGAGAGGGGGGCAAGGCGGAGGGGAAGAGACGGGGAGTTCCAGAATTTCAGGGAGTAGCGACTGAAAACATGGCTGCCCTTGATGGAGCGCGGGGGCGAGAGACATGAAGAAGGCCGGATGGAGCCAGCTGAGCTAAGGTGGCAGAGAGTAAAGTGGGATGTAAGCAGGTCGGAGAGGTAAGGAGGTGAAGTGACTTGTACACAAGTGTGAGGATCTTGAAATCGATCTGTTGTGCAATAGGGAGCCATTTGTAATCATGATTCTAAAGTCGGCGTCCACGTCAGCCCTTACCCAGACCCGAAAGAGTGCTGGGTTAGATGAGCAACTAATGAATTCAACTCTGCAGCTGAAAGTAAATGTGATCAGCATTTCAATGTGAAGCTTGAACGGGTCACAATTGAAGCGTTAGCCAGGTTGGCAGCCTCGGCTGCTGGAGAAGGAAGTGCATTTTGGTCGCGCTTTCATTGTCAAAAACTTTTCGAAAAGCACTTTTCAGAGCGCTTAATGCCAAGCGTTGTGAAGAAAGAAAACTTTGCAATCTTTCAAAAGTATTGAAAGCTAAAAATAGCAGCTGCTGCTTCTCGCTTGTAATTGATATTTCATTGCAACCGGTTTTGCCAGAAGGACTGGTAATGGGTATCGAGTGTTGAAATTGTTGACCAACTATCAACGACCGTGAAGTGAATTTTAATCTGCAGGATCGTTGCCCAGGATACCAGGAGAGACTTGTTCTTTTCCAACAGGCTTTATCGCCCACTAAATACACAGTCAATCCACTTCTCGATTTATTCTGCGAAGCACTTCGAGACGTCTCAACGGGGTAATAAGGCGAAGAGGAAAGTCTTGAGGCTCGACCTGAAGATGGGGCGCAGGGGGCGAGGCAGAAGGTCATATCAGCTGAAAGCATAACCAAAACGCTACATCAAATGTGACAGGAGAAACTTTTATTAATAATTTGCCCACTGAAAAGCTGTGTTCATCTCAGTGCCAACACAAACAAACCAAGGTCGTTGCTCTTGTCAATATTTTCATTTAAAACCCCACAAATAGACGAGGCCCATCTTTCACAATCAATAATATTTTGCAAAGGAGTGTGTTCATCCAAGGAAGGGGAAACAGCGTACACAGGGTCCCGAGGCAGATTAATAAAGAGCCGGTCATACTGCCCTCACTCCCTTCAGTCAAGCCAAATGTTTCAAAACTTTCAAGTGAGCATGAGGGAACACAACAATAAATAATAACCCTCACATTTGACATAGTGCCTTATCTTGTTGTTGAGACGTCTCAAACACTTCACAGGATATAATAATAATAATAAAAATAATAATAACCATCGCATTTGATATAGTGCCTTATCACATCTTTGAGGTGTCTCAAAGCGCTTCACAGGATCCACTGTAAAGTGCATTGACTGTATATTTTGTGGACAAAACCCAGCAGCGTTCCACAAACAGTCGTGGATTGAGTGACCAACTTATTTTTTTGAAGGGTTTATTACCCCTGGAAAAGCGATCCGACAATCGACTAACATCCAGGTTCCTGCCTACTGCTGGGTAAACGGAGGCGTGTGGAGGAAGGAAACTTGCCCAACGTTTCGCCCCGCTGGGAATCGAACCCAAGACTCTCGCTTACGAGACGAGTGCTCTACTGTGTGTGTGTATATACTGAAATGTGTGTATTTTGTGGACGAAATACAGCAGCCAATTGTGCACAGCAGGGTCCCACAAGCAGTCGTGGATGGAGTGACCAAATTATTATTATTTTTTGAATGCATTTTAGTTAGAAAATTCACTTGTACACTTTACAATGCACTTTACATAGATCCAATGACCACCACATTACCACCACCAAGAACAACTTGCATTTATATATCGCCCTTCACGTGGGGAAGTGCCTGGGGCCACTTAATTCATCACACACAACGGATGGAGAATTGCGATCTGTCATAACGGATTCAGTGACTATTTCCATCACAATTGGAGTTTCTTGTGACAGTTGCACTTTTTACGCCCAATACTATGGATCTGCTAAGTTCACCTGATGCAAGCATCACACCAGTAACATATTGTGTGTGGTTCCGATCCTCTCAGAACTGACGGAGATGCTCTGAGTCTGACTGAGTGTCTGCGCCCTTACCTTAGAGCATTTTGTTAAACGTATCAAGCACAGCAATCGTTTCAAAATTCCCCCAAAGTAAATTGCCCTTTCAGAATAATAATAGTAAAGCTAATGGGAATTTTGTTGGCAAGCAGTCACTGTTTAGGCAATTTTTCACAGATTTTTGGCAGATTTTACAGAATATTATTTGACAATTTGTACTACTGTTACTTATTAGATTCCTGCTCTCGTCTTATTCCAATCCTCCTAAGATTTGAAACTAATACACAAAGCATGGCTTCGTCTATAGAAATCTGTGTTTAATGTTTCTGGATGTGGGATAAAAGTACCCCTTGGAGTTCACTTCCCACCAGTGACAATTCCTTAAAAGATATCCTGCCTTACCTGGGAGGGCCTCAGAGAATCCTGAACAGCATCCGTCAAAGCAATGAAGTCCAGATCAGGTCTGGTGAAGGCAGAATGTTGATCTGCAATGAAGAGAGGTAATCAAGGTAAGTAAAGCCTTTAAAAGGCAATTGCTTAACTCTGGCAGAAAAGTTATTTTTTTAAGATTGGGGGTTGGCTGGGTGTCTGACACATGGGGAAACCCATCATCGTTGCTTAAGAGTCTCCAAACCAAGCTGAGAATTCCATGCATCCCACCGACACATGGAAATCCCAGGGATAGATTGTTGGAATGGAATGCGCTCTCTCTCTCCCTGGAGTGACACATCCTGCTCACCTAATTCCGGAGAGGATTGGGCACAGGTTGGCAAGAGCCACGGCTTGGAGACACCAGAGTGTGGGTTGGGGTAACTGCTGGAGTTTAACCAGGTAAAATCTGTTGATAAGCTCTTCACATCAACAGTAAAAACTCAGGAACACAGGGCGGGATTGACCTTGGTAGATCTACCTTGATGGATTATTATAATAAGGGGTAATAATCCCTTCAAAAATAATCATTTGGTCACTCAATCCACAATCACGTCCCCCCCCTCGCTCGCCCCACCATTGGCGAGCAGGCCTTCTGCCACTCCGCCCCATCCTCTGGAACTCCATCCCGCAGGCCCTCCGCCTCTCCCCCTCCCTTGCCTCCTTCAAGACCCATTTCAAGACCCTCCTCTTTGACTGTGCTTTCGTTCACCCTGGTTCCCCCCCCCCCCCCGCATCCTCCACCCTACGCAATCCCTAACACCCCAAAAAAACATTCGGGTCCGAAACACTGATTGTCCAACGCCTTGGGACGTCCTCCCGAAGTGAAAGGTGATATACAAATGTAATGTAATTTTGTTGCTGTTCTTGTATTATTATATTATTAATAAGGAAGGATTATTAACATTATTAATATCATTATCACCAATTTATTTTCGAATTGTGACCCAGCTGCTTATCAAAGATCAGTGATGTGTTTTAGCATGTTATCTATCACAGTATGTTTTGTGACACTCCTGCTCGCTTCATCCTCCTAGTTTTTCCTCCCTTCCTCGATGTTCCACCAACAGCCACAAAGTGAGTGAATCATCATTTTATCTGAGAGATTGTCAGGCAAGACACCGGGAGAGAGAATCCACCCCGCTCCCCCCCCGACCCACCCTTTCTCTTTTCTGATAGAGCCGCAAGCAGACTAAGCCGCAGTTTAACGTCTCATCGGAAGGACGGTATCTCCGACAACGCAGCCCTCGACCCAATTTGTGCGTTGGAGTTTCAGCCTGGACCAGGCGTTCAAATGCCAATGTGGATACACCCGGCTGCTCACTAGAAGCACCCACTCCCTGCTTTGAAGAATGACAGTGAATCTGTTTACCTTGTGACTACTGTACTCACTTTGTGGGGGAGCTCTGGCATGATGTGGGATGGAAGCAGGGGGAGAATTGATCAAAGGCTGAGCTCGCTCCAGAAAATTCATAAACTTCTTCCAACTGAAAGAAAAGACAATAGTCAATAGTTACTAAAGCAACCAGGTCTAAAATACATAACTTTACAGATCACTTTACCATCTTGGTGCGCTTTAGGGAATTCAATATGGCTTAGATTGCATTCAGATACACAAGGATGAGATGGAAATAATCACAGAATCCAAATTTACAGCATAGCATGTTTAGGCCATCTAATGTGCTAATGCTATCCCGCTCCACTGGCACTGACTAGTCTATTCCGAATCCCCTGTGATTTCCCTGGACCCTTTACATTCATTGAATCATAGAATTATACAGCACAGAAGGAGGCCATTCGGTCCATCGTGTCTGTGCTGGGTCTTTGAAAAGAGCTTCCAAATCAACCCCACTCCCCCGCTCTCTCTCCATAGCCCTGATCAACCCCACTCCCCCGCTCTCTCCCCATAGCCCTGATCAACCCCACTCCCCCACTCTCTCCCCATAGCCCTGATCAACCCCACTCCCCCGCTCTCTCCCCATAGCCCTGATCAACCCCACTCCCCCGCGTTCTCCCCATAGCCCTGATTAACCCCATTCCCCTGCGCTCTCCCCATAGCCCTGATCAACCCCACTCCCCACTCTCTCCCCATAGCCCTGATCAACCCCACTCCCCCCCTCTCTCCCCATTGCCCTGCAAACTTGTCCTCCCCAAATAATTATCTACTTCTCTCTTGAAAGTTGTTATCGAATCGACTTCCACTGCCCTTTCAGGCAAACATTGTTCTTCTTCAAATATTTAATCAGCTTCATTTTAAATTCCATTGTAGTTTGAGCTTCAGTGGTAAATCTATCCAAGTTGCAAAAAAGCCCTCTGCGTGCAAAAGGGGAACCTTTCTAATTTTCCCCTGTATCTACTTTCATCCCATGCCAGTAAGAAATAAAACAGAATAACGTAATAATAATAATTCTTCCATTTTGATATAATGCCTTATCACGTTATTGAGGCGTCTCAAAGCACTTCACAGGATTACACTGTAAAGTGAATTGACTGTATATTTTGTGGGTGAAATGTGGCAGCCAAGTGTACACAGCAGTGTCCTACAAGCAATCGTGGAATGAATGAACAAATTATTATTTTTTAAATTATTTTTTGAAGGGATTATTAGCCCCCAGAAAGCAATCTGCCAATCAAGTAACAACTGGGTTTCTACTTACTGCTAGGTGTGTGGTGCAAGCAAACTTGCCTAAGGTTTCGCCCTGCCCGGGAATCAAACCCGGGTCCTCTCGCTAGCGAGGCGAAGACTCTAACCACTATACTACAGGACTCCACCTCCAAGATGGAACTTGACAGACAAAAATCACATCGTGAATCACTGACATCTTTGGTTAGAATGTTAAAGGGAGGGGAATCAATGGGGAGAAGGAGTGACACGAAATTTGATATCACTTCAGCTTAAGTGACAACGTGACAATGTCATTTCAGCCGATACCACGTGATTGAATGGCTGAAACCTGCTCACTGCTGCTATCTTCCGCCGTTGTCTGCCAGCTGTTGGCAAAACAAAACAACCTTCTTGGAAAGGTAAAGCCTCACAGTGTCTCTGTGTTTATTACAAGGAGTAAAACAGAAGTGAGTCTTAATGTCTGAGGGTATTTTGTGAGTTAAGGTGACCTTAACCCAACAGTTGGATGGGTCAGTCCTGCCTTGTAAATCAGTCCAGTTTATGAGTTACCTGATATATGGTTTTGACTTCAACTCAAGGTAGTTTGTACCAGCAGATGCTTACTTTATCATGCCGTCTTTGCAATAACTGTCCTTTCTTATTAAAGCTTCTATTATAAACTCAGGGATCGGCAGCTTATGCTTTTGACTGATAGCCTTGATCTGCAAATACAGAGTATTGGTAAGGCTCTTTATACAATACAGATTACTAGCGCGAGCAGCCAGACGTTTGATACAATTCCAACCCAAATACCCCTTATCATCACCGAAGTCCTAAATTTAATTCTATAACTCCCTGATGTGATACAATGTAAAGCAGGATGTCCAATATAGTGCTGAGCACCTTCAGCCCCTGTGTAGCCTGAGATGGGGAAAGGCTCTAGTAGCTGTGTTGTGATGCGCTCCCAAAATTAATAATAATAATCCTTACATTTGATATAGCGCCTTATTATGTCATTGAGACATCTCAAAGCACTTCACAGGATATATGGTAAAGTGGATTGACTGTGTATTTCGTGGGTGAAATGCAGCTGGTTTACGCACATGAGTGTCCCACAAACAGTCATTGATTGAGTTACCAATTTTATTTGGGGGATTGTTGGCCAGGACACTGGGAGAGAGAAACTCCCTTCTCTTTTCAAATAGCGCCACAGGATCTTTAAGGTCCACCTGAACAAGCTGACGGGACCTTGGTTTATACGTGCCACCACGACATAGTGAGAATAGTGAGCAGAAGGGTGCTGAATACTCATCTGGTTTACCTCTTTAGGTGTCAGGAACCCGGTGAGGCTTCGGTCTGCTTCCTGAAAGCTCTGATGAACCTTCTCCACTCTGAACGTGACTCTGTGTTTTTTGAATCGGTTCTGTAATTTCATAAGCAGCTGCTTATCATCAGAGCTTTGGTTTCTCAAGTGGCCGACTTCAGTGGGAGAATCTCTAATCAATTAACGGATCACAAGAGAGGTTTGGATGAAGAAGGCCCTTGATCTCATCCTCCCAGAACTACCTCCCTACCATCCTCGTCTCTTTCTGAAGTGTCCCAGCTTCAACTTAACTGTCCTTCCCGGTAAGTGCTGTTAGCTATTTAACCTAGGTGTAAAGACATACTTCCTGGTTTCTGTCCTAAATTTGCCCTCCACAACTCTGTGCCACTTTGACTCAAGTTGAAGTACTATTCCACGTTTGCTATCTCAATCCCATTAAGCATCTCGTATATCTCTATATGGTTCCAAATGAGCAATCTCTTTTCAAGGCTGAAGATCACTAATTAAAATAGTCACTCCTCATAACTCAATACTCTAATCAGGAGATCATCTTGATTGCTATCCTGTGCCCTGTCTCTCGTGGCTAGCCAGTAGCTCCCTGTGTAACAGCCTCTTAAATAATCTTAGTAGATACCCTATTGCACCATACTGCCCCCAACCTTGCCTACTTTACAAAGGGAAGTGTGCGTCAATTGACACAAGCACAGTATGTTCATGCCAACCAACCCTCAAACAAACATATTCAATGACTGAAAAAAGGTAATACCTCTTCCGGTCTCCTTGTGGCTCCCAAGAGTTTGGCACTTGCAACTTGCCAATGGAGTTGGTCACAGAAACATCAGGCTGCAAGGCTCTCTGCTTATCCCCAGGCCTGCCATCTTGCTCAAATATTTTTGGAACAGTCAGCCTTTCGTACTTATTGCTCAACATTGCCGTTTTTAAAAAGTTCAGTAAGTTCACATAGTGCACCTGCAAGGCAAGATTCTCGAATGCTGCATCAGTGGGCAAAATAAGAGGAGACCTCGGTGGAACCTGGAGGTTGGATTTCCTTCCCACTGAGAAAGCTGATAATGGGCAGTGTTTGCTTCAAAGAGTGTCAAAGAAACAAGGTAAATCAGGAAACGTGGTCAGTTAATGCAAACGTGGGTTTTAAAAGCCTGTTGGTCAATAATAATGACAATAATCCTTGCATTTTTCGATAATACCTTATCACGTAGTTGAGACGTCTCAAAGCACCTCACAGAATATGCAAGTTTCTTTACTCTACACACCTAACTGTAAGTAGGAACTTAATTGTTAGGTGATTGGCGGATCGCTTTCCAGGAGTAATAATCCCTAAAAAATATACTTAATTGCTGGGTGCAATTGGCTGCCACACTTCACCCACAAAATATACAGTCAATTCACTTTACAGTATATTCTGTGAAGCCCTTTGAGATATTGCGACAATGTGATAAGGCGCTGTATCAAATCAAGGATTATAATCATTCTGTTGGCTTTAGGAAATCCTTCAGGGTAATCGGGTATTGATGAAGGATTAGAACAAACCAGAAGGATAGAATTAGAAGCTGGAATGATTTGAAGAGGGTTACATACCATGGTTGGATTGCTGGGCTTGGCAAACCTCTCCAATAGCTGTTTAAGAGTAGGCAGGTGCAGCGGCAGGTCGTAACTCAACAACAGGAGGCTGAGCTGTGAATGGGGAACAAATCCAGAGAGGATTGAATCGAAGTTCCTCAGCTCAGCTAAGATGCTCTCTAGTTTGCTGGCACTGTATGATTGGAAATCATTGACCACCTTGGTGAACAGCGAACCTTCTTCGGAAGGCATGTCAGACACCTTCTGGGAGACATTCAGCTTCTGATGGAGGTTCTAGGGGCAAACAACAATAACAACAATAATTTATATTTACACTAAAACTCGCATACTGTCTATATAGATGTCTATAAATGTCTAATCATCCAAGTCATGCACCTGTCCAAGTCCCATTGAGCTGCCTATTATTTATCATTTTCACATAACTCGTGCTAGTCATGAGCCATATTCAATGTATGGTCCCAACTGTTTAGAGATCATGCTATAAGAACATAAGAATTGCTGGATGAAAGGAAACCAGTTCGTCTTCCACCATCCTAGCAGTTGCTTGCATGTGTCATGTCCCCAAACTATATACTCTATCACGAGGTATTAGAAATCTATCTAATTTGTTGTTGAAGGAATCGCATTTTCTCTATGTGAGAATTAACACATGAACACAGCCATTATTTACCCCATTAATCTACATTCTGTTTTCATGGGTTTCAAAATAACTGCTATTAGGTCTGTACCTTGCGGATTCCTGGCAGAACAGCCAATGCATTTAATGTCTGAGACCTGTGATATGGTTCCTTCAGCCCGTGGATATAGGACAGTGTCTGATCTCCAGTGGGTGCTGACATATAATGAGCCACAGGGAGATTCGAAACCTGCAACAATTGATAGATACTGTGAAATAAAGATAATCGTGGCACTTGCTCCAATATCAAAACATATAAAGCCATTCTCAACTAGACTCCTGCACTATATTGGTTAGAACTCTTGCCTCGCAAGTGAAAGGACCCGGGTTTGATTCCCGGGCAGGGCCAAACCTCAGGCAAGTTTCCTTACTTCACACGCCTCTGTTTACCCAACAATAAGTAGATACCCAGTTGTTAGTCGATTGGCGGATTACTTTCCGGGCGTAATAATCCCTCCCCGCAAAAAAAAATTGCTCACTTAATTTGTGAGTGACTGTTTGTGGACACAATTGGCTGCTGCGTTTCACCCACAAAATACACAGACAATACAATATATTACAATATATTCTGTAAAGCGTTTTTTGACGCCTTAACAACGTGATAAGGTGCAACACCAAGGATTATTATTACTATTATTATGATTTTGTAGGCGAATGTGTGCACAGCGACATCCCCACCAACAGTCACAAAGGGAATAATTGATTTTATTCTTGATATTTGATACTATAAATGTGCACACAGCAAAGGTCCCAGAACCAAACTTCTTATCTGGGAGAGTATTGGCCATGAGTGACAAGCTCCCTTCCCATTTTGAATTATGGAGAGTGTTATGGATAATTGTAGCGCCTTTCACATTGGGTGATCGTCCCAAAGTGCTGCACAGTCAACGATGTGCACCAAAGCAAAAGTTAAAGCAGCACTTTCCCCCAGGATGGCATCGGAACGTCAACACAATGTGAGCTCAAACACCCTACATAGCTCTAGAACCCACAATCTTCTGACCTCAAGATTGGAGGACTGTTGACTGAGCCAAGCTTTTCCACATATCAATGTGTGCTATTCAATGCTGCTCACATTACCCAAACGTAAGGTTTTTAATGCCGTGCAAATAGTTTAACTAGAATGGACAATTAGAGAGTTCTAACTTACCCCGGTAGGCTTCCCAATATTCCATTTGCAAAGATTTTAGGATTCTGTCTTACCCTTGAAGGCAAATGATGCCGTAAAAAACAAATAATAAAAATAATAACCTTTGCATTTGATAAAGCACCTTTTAGGTAACGAGGATGTCCCAAAGCCCTTCACAGGATTTGCGGTAAAGTGTTGTAACTGTGTATTTTGTAGGCGAACTTGAAAATCCCAAATAAAGCTCAAACATTGCGTTCAAAGATTCTATTTTTAACATTTCTTATTTGCCATAACGTTACGTTTGGTTAATGCTGTACAGTGGTGAGGGGGAGGATGGAGCTCTTTAAAACATTCACGTTGTTCGATTTGCCTACCTGCTGGCTTTCGCACATCTGTTTCTCAGCTGGAGATTCCTGGTGTGGGTCCTGTGTTGTGGAGGGGACTGAATGAGTCTGTCTTGCTTTAAGGGTATCAATTACAGGAAGTCGAGTCTCTGAATGAACATCTTCCATGGCTTTACTTCTTGGATCACTACAGTTTTCAAGTATAAAAAAAATACCTTAGTAACACTTGGCAGTAACTGGAATGCAAGAATAATCCTTGCACCTACAACATCAAAAGAACTCACAAAAAACTGCTGTAAACCAGCATCACAAATCTATTTGTACACAAACCCAGAAACTACTACTCGTAATAATCCTTGCGATTGATATCGGGCCTTCCTGTCGGCAGGATGTCTCAAGGTGCTTCACAGGATGTTCTGTAAAGTGGAGTGACTGTGTAATAATAATAATAATCCTTGCATTTGATATAGCGCTTTTTAATTCTTCGAGACATCTCAAAGCGCTTCACAGAATATACTGTAAAGTGAGTTGACTGTATATTTTGTGGGCGAAAATGCAGCAGCCGATTGCGCACAACAGCATCGCACAAACAGCCGTGGATTGAGTGACCGATTTATTACTATTTATTTTCTTGAAGGCTTATTATCAGGCGTGTGGAGTAAGAAAACTTGCCCAAAGTTTCACCCTGCCAGGAATCAAACTCATGTCTTTCACTTGCCAGGCGAGTGCTCTAATCACTGACTTACAGCACTCCATGTACTGTTTCCTGTGTAGGCGAATGCGGCAGCTAATTTGCACACAGTGATGTCCCACAAACAGTCAAGAAATGAGTGACCAATTTTATTTGTAAAACAATACCATACCATTATTTATTGGGGGCATTTTTGGCCAAGGACATCGGGAGAGAGAAAATCCCTTGTTTTTTCAGATATTATTAATACTAATAATAATCCTTGCATTTGATATAGTGCCTTATCATGTCTTTGAGACATCTCAAAGCGCTTCACAGAATGCATTAAAGTGCATTGGCTGTGTATTTTGTGGGCGAAACACAGCAGCCAATTGCGCACAGCAGTGTCCTACAAACAATCATGGATTGAGGCATCAAATATTGCCATGGGATCTCTGACATCCATCTGAATAGGCAAAGGTCTCAACCAAAGAGCAGGGCCTCTGACAATGTAGGTTTCTCACAACACTGATGTGGAGCTTGAATCCACAAGCTTCATGACCCAGAACCAAGAGTGCTTCCCACTGAGCCAGGCTTTAGGCATTAGATACCTTTTAGCTTCAGTTTACACTAAACTCTTAGCAGATTTTGTTTACCGTCTACACGAACATTACCCACCACAACACACAGCTGTCTTACCCAGAGGCAAGAGTGGGGTCAGCTAACCCTCACCCAATTATAAACACAACCTGTCCAGAGATGCTTTATTAACATAACATATAGGAGCAGGAGTAGGCCATTCGGCCCTTCGAGCCTGCCCCGCCATTCAATCATGGCTGATCTTCTAATCTAACATCTGACTGTTTTGTCAATGGGAATAACAATAGGTCAGGGTACTGTTTAAGGCATTAGTTTGGAGAGAAAAGGAACATATTACAACACACATGTTCATAGTGTTTTATCGAGGTGAAATGTCTCGAAGTTCTTTGCAGTAATCAGTCTAGTGTTATCTATCTCTGGAACTGTCCAGGACACGGGGAGAAATTCGTTTCTCATTCAATAGGAATCATGGAATCATTAACATTCGCCTGAAAGCAGGCAGATGGAACTTTAATAACAATGCTTGCATTTAATTTAGTGTCTTAACATGTCTTTCTCAAAACGTTTCACAGTAAAGTGAATTAATTGTATTTTTATGGGCAAAACGCGGCAGCCAATTGTGCATAGCAGTGTCCCACGAACAGGGGTGAAACGAGTGACCAAATTATTATTTTTTATTTAAAATGCAAACTTTGGGTTAAGATCTCAACTGAATGGTGGTACCACTGCCAGGGCAATGCTCTAATGCTCCCATGACCCCATGCCCCATTCCCCCACACCCCCTGAACTGCATCTCGAGAAATGGCCAATTAATCTGGAGGATTCCTGGGAAGAATGTTTACAATGTGTTGCAGAGCTTAGTCTCGTTGCTTGTTGGAACACCACCACCGTGCAATTTGCCAACTGAGATACAGGC